TTAATTTATTTGAAGGCAGAGTTACAGAGACAGAGAGGGAGAGATATAGAGAGAAACCTTCTGTCTGCTGGTTCATTACCCAAACGGCTACAATGGCATGGGCTAGGCCAAGCCAAAGCCAAGAGCTACATCTGGGTCTCCCATGTGGGTTCAGGGGCCCAACACTTGGGCCATCCTCCACTGCTTTCCCATGTGCATTAGCAGGGAGCTGGATCGGAAGTGGAACAGCTGGCATCCATGTGGGATGTCAGCATTGTAGGTGGCAGATTAACCCGTTATGCCACAATGTAGGCCCCAATTTCTGCTATTTTTGTAGACCTTGTTTTCTGCTTCTTTTTGATTTCTGATCACTTGAAGAAGAAGGGAGCAGTGACCTGTGGGTGTGCATACAGAAATACAGGTGGACAAATTAGGGAAGGAGATGAGTTTCTGGGGTCCTTTCAGACCAACCGGTCTCACTAAAAAGCTCAGTGTAGATCAATGCAGTGTTGAAAGTGAGTCAGAGGAGTGAGCGTTGTGACACAACAGGTTAAGCTGCTGCCTGCAATGCTGGCTTCCCCATGTGAATGCCAGTTTAAGTCTCGGCCGCTCCACTTCTTTTTTTCTTTTTAAAGATTGATTTATTTATTTGAAAGTCAGAGTTGCAGAGAGAGAGAAGGTGAGGGAGAGAGAGAGAGAGAATCTTCCATCCACTGGTTCACTCCCCAGTTGGCTGCAGCTGCCAGAGCTGGGCTGATCCAAAGCCAGGAGCTTCTTCTGGGTCTCCCACATGTGCAGGGCCCAAGGGCTTGGGCCATCTTCTACTGCTTTCCCAGGCACAGCAGAGAGCTGGATTGGAAGTGGAGCAGCCAGGACTCAAACCGGTGCCCATATGGGATGCCGGCACTACAGGCGGTGGCTTTACCCACTACACCACAGCGCCAGCTCCAGCTGCTTCACTTCTGACCCAGCTCCTTGCTAATGCAGTCAAAGATGGCCCAAGTGCGTGGGCCCCTGCTCCAGAGTGGAAGACCTAGATGGAGTTTCAGGTTCCTGGCTTCAACGGGCCCAGTCCAGCCCGAACCCCAGCCCCAGCCATTGTGACCATTTGGGTAGTGGGGAGTGATTCTCTGAATCCTTCCAATAAATGCATCTTTTTTTTTTTTTAAGAAAATGAGTCAGAAGAGGTTCCAGATCATCTTCTAATGCCAACACAGACCTTGTCATCAATTAGCAGCCCAGCCTCTTTAGCTCTGAACACCAGAAGCAAAACCAAACTGTATCAGCAACCACTTGGCAGACAGGCTCGAGGAGAAAGGAGAGGGGGAAGGCGAGGAAAGCTTATAGCAAAGAGAACTAACTGATCAAGGCAAAGCTGAGGCGAGAGAGCGATGCTGCCTGCAGTCTCAGGTCCTGGGCACTTTGGCATCTGGACTTCACACAGCATTCTAACCCCTGCAGCGCTTACCGTGCCTCACTGAAATGGGCCTCTGTGTGTGTCTCTTAAACTGTAGGCTGCGCTCATCCAGGTCCCCCTCTGCAGGACCCACAGTAGGCATGGGGAAAGAGTTGTATTGAAGGATACCCCTACCTCCATGTTCCACCTCTCCTCTAAACAGCAGTGCAACAAAGCCTGCATGTGGTCCATAGTGACTGAAGGAAAACAGTGCAGGTTAACTATTAGTTCATGAGTATCTTACCTGATTCAATATTTCAGCAAAAAAAAAAATTTTGGAACACATGCACCCAACTGAAAAGTCAAGTAAAACTTGTAGAAGACACTGTTGACTTAACAATTATTCATCAATCCCAGGGTCCTTTTTGTACCCTCTTCTAAATCCATGTGTTTTGGGAAACACAGGGTATCTGCATTTCCATAAGGCAGCGAGTCAAAACTGGGCAGTCTGGTGGTGACCACACTTCTCTTGCTAGTGACACTTGCTGCAAGGCTTCTCAGAAAGCGTCTGTGTGTGGGGACAGAGGGGGCTGGTGCTGTGGTGTAGTCGGCTGAGCCTCTGCCTACAGCGCCAGCATCCCATATGGTGCCGGTTCTAGGCCCAGCTGCTCCTCTTCTGATCTAGCTCCCTGCTGATGGCCTGGGAAAGCAGTGGAAGATGGGCCAAATGCTTGGGCTTCTGCACCCACATGGGAGACCAGGAAGAAGCTCCTGGCTCCTGGCTTTGGATCGGCCCAGCTCCAGCCATTAAGGCTATTTGGGGAGTGAACCAGCAGATGGAAGACCTTTCTCTCTGTCCCACTCTGTATAACTCTGCCTCTCAAATAAAATAAATTTTAAAAAATCTTTAAAAAAACAAAGTGTCTCTGTCTGTGATTATTAATAGAGTGAGTTAGGGGCCAGGTTAAGCCTCTACTTGCAATGCTGATGTCCTGTATCAGTGTGCCAATTCAAATCCCAGCTGCTCCACTTCCCTTCAACTCCCTGCTAATGAGCCTGGCAAGGCAGCAGAAGGTAGCCCACACACTTAGGTCCCTGCCATCCTGGGAGACCAGGATGAAGTTCTTGGCTCCTGGATTCAGTCTGACTCAAACCTGGCTATTGCAGCCATTTGGGAAGAGAACCAGCAGATACAAGATCTGTGTGTGTGTGTGTGTGTGTGTGTGTGTCTGTCTGTCTGTCTCTCACTCTGATGCTCTGCCTTTCGAATAAATAAATTTTTAAAAATAGAATCATAGGCAAAGGCACAGATCCCATTCCACTGGATATTGTCTTTCAAATAAATATCTTTTAAAAAAGGTTTATTTCAAATAAACCCTTTTTTTAAATGGTTTATTTTATTTATTTGAAAGACGGAGTGACAGAGAGAGAGAGAGAGAAGAGAGGGAGAGAGAAGAGAGAGAGAGAGGTCTTCCATCTGCTGGTTCACTCCCCAGATGGCTGCAATGGCCAGGGCAGGGTCAGGCGGAAGCCAGGAGCCAGGAGCATCTTTTAGGTTTCCCACCTGGGTGGCAGGGACCCAGAGACTCTGGCCATCTCCCACTGCCTTTCCAGGCCATTATCAGGGGACTGAGTGGAAAAGAGAGCAGCCAGGACTTGAACTGGCACCCATATGGGATGCCGGCATCACAGGCAGCAGCTTTACCCACAACACCACAACATTGACTCCATTTTTTTTTTAATGTATTTGAAAGTCAAACTTACAGAAAGAAAAAGATAAAATAAACCTTTAAAAAATTATCCTCCATCCTCTTTCATTTGCCTGGTTTTCTGTTAGTATTATCTCTCAAAATCTAGTTGTAATATCCTTCCAAAGTGATTGTTTTCTTTTTAAATAGTTTTTGTCACTCCTCCCCGTTTTCCTCCCTTCTGTTTCATTTCTATACCCACTCCCATCCCCTTCTCCTGCCACACAAGGTAACCAGTTCATGGTGCTTTATATGTAAAAGTGTATGTGTTCTTGCAGAAAGTAAACTACTGGTTTTGTGTATCTTTAACTTACACTCATTTTTGCTTTTTCCTGTTTTCATGGAGTACTACTTTCACTTTACTTTCTTTCTATTTGAGATGCAGAAACAGATACAGGTAGACAGAGACGGCTCCCATCTGTTGCTTCCCTCCCCAGATGCTTGGAGTGGGGCTGGCGCTGGGGCCAGCCCCAGGTGCCGGGAACTCAGTCCAGATCTCCCAGGGGTATGGAAGGGACACAACTGTTTGATCCATTACTTCTCACCCTCCAGGGTCTGCATCAGCAGGAAACTGGGATCCAGAGCCAGAGTGGAGAAAACCTAGGCATTCGGATATGGGATGCAAGTGCCTCAACAGGCGTTTCACTGTTAGGCCAAATACGTGTGCCAGGCAACACAGTCAATGATTAAGCCATATGGCTCAGTGTACATCTGTCGTGCGGCTTGTCACTGTTGCTACTTCACTGTGTATATTCTCATGTCTTACCTTTCCTGTCTCCCAGGGATGCATACGCAGGTTGTCTCCAACTCCGTGGCATCAAAAATAATATAATATATTATATTATAGATCTGAATGAAAACATCTTTGGAATATTACATCAAGAAGTACAATTCTTTTTTTTAAGATTTATTTATTTAAAAGGCAGTTGCAGAGAGAGAAGAAGAGACCAAGAGTGAAAGCTATCTTCCATCTGCTGGTTCACTCCTCAAATGGCTGCCAACAGCCAGAGCTGGGCTGATCTGAGGTTGGGAGCCGGGAGCTTCCTCAGGTCTCCTACAAAGGTGCAGGGGCTCAAGCACTAGGGCCATCTTCTGCTGCTTTCCCAGGCACATTTGCAGGGAGCTGGAGCAGACGGGACTCAAACTGGTGCCCATATGGGATGCCGGAGACAGAGGTTGCAGCTTTAACCTACTACACCACAGCGCCAGCCCCAGAAAGGGCAATTCTAAGGTAGAGCAGGACAGGTAACATCAGTCTGTGCTCCTGCGCAATGCATGAGTGTTGCTACACGCCCACATGTGGTATCATTTTGTAACTGTCAATGGTACAAAGTGATACTTTTACATTTGATTTCCATGTTTAGGGAATTTGAGTACCTTTTTTAGTTTCTTCTGAAATTTGCCTTTCCTCATTCTCTGTTCACTTTTCCATTGGGGTTGCTTTTGCTTACTTTTTAAAATTTATTTGAAAGGCAGAGAAAAAAATAAAAAGACAAACAAACGTCTCCCATCTGCCAGTTCACTCCCCAAAGAACCGCAACCACAGGGGCTTGCTCAGGCTGTCAGGAGCTTGGACTCAGTCTCCGTGTCCCACGTGGGTGGCAGGGAACCAGTTACCTGAGCAGTCACACGCTGCCTCCCAGAACGCACGTGAACAGGAAGCAGGAGAGCCAGGACTCGGGCCCACCCACTTTGATTTCGGTTGTAGGTGTCCCAAGCAGTAACTTAGCCACTAGGACAAATGCCCACTCTGGCTTTTTCTTATTGATTTGCAAGAGCTCCTTTTATATTATACATTTGAGTTTCTTTCTTTCTTTCTTTCTTTCTTTTATTATTTTTTTTTTTTTTTTGGACAGGCAGAGTTAGACAGTGAGAGAGAGAGAGAGAGAGACAGAGACAGAGAGAAAGGTCTTCCTTCTGTTGGTTCACCCCCAAAATGGCTGCTACAGCCGGCGCGCTGTGCTGATCCGAAACCAGGATCCAGGTACTTCTCCTGGTCTCCCATGTGGGTGCAGGGCCCAAGCACTTGGGCCATCCTCCACTGCCTTCCTGGGCCACAGCAGAGAGCTGGACTGGAGGAGGAGCAACCAGGACAGGACCGGCGCCCCAACCAGGACTAGAACCCAGAGTGCCAGCGCCACAGGCGGAGGATTATCCTAGTGAGCCATGGCGCTGGTCTATTTTTATTTCTTTGAGAGAGAAGAAAGGAGATAGAAACACACACACACAATGTTCCAATCTGCTGGTTCACTCACCCAATGCCTGCCAACAGCCCCTAGCTGACCAGAAGAGAATCTAGGAGCCAAGAACTCAACCCAGGTCTCCCACATGGGTGGCAGGAACCTGTCCCTGCTGCCTCCCAGGATCCGCATTAGCAGGGAGCTGGAGTCAGGAGCCAGAGTCAGGAATCAAACTCAGGCACTCAGATGTGAGATACTGGCATTTTAATCACTAAGACAAATGCCCCCACCTACAGTTTATAATTAATCACCTTTGGTCTTAGATATTTCAAAATCTTCCTCTCATTTTGTCATTGTCTTGTTAACTTTGTCTATAGATCTTTTATGAGCAGAAATGCTTAATTTTTTCAAAATACTTATTTTGGAGCCAGTGCTGTGGTACAGCCGGTTAAGCCGTGGCCTGTAGTGCCGGCATCCCGTATGGGTTCCAGTTTGAGTCCCGGATGCTCTACATCTGATCCAGCTCCCTGCTAATGCACCTGGGAAAGCAGCAAATGGTCCGAGTCCCTGAGTCCCCGCAAGCACATGGGATACACAAGATGCTCCTGGCTCCTGACTGTGGTACGGCACAGCCCTGGCCGTTGCAGCCATTTGGGGAGTGAACAACCAGTGGACAGAAGATTCTCTCTCTCTCTCCTCTCTGTAACTCTTTCAAGGAATAAATAAATCTTCTAAAAATTATTTTATGTATGTGAAAGGCAGTGTGAGAGGAAAGACAGAGAGGAGATCCTCCATCTGCTGGTTTATTCCCCCAGGGCCGCAATGGCTAGGGCAGGGCCATTGCCAGGAACCAAGCATTCCATCCAGGTCGCCCACATAGGTGGCAGGAGTCCACGTTCCTGAGCCACCATCTGCTGCTTCCCCGTGAGGATTAGCAAAGGAGCTGGATTGGAAGTGCAGCAGCCGGGACTCAGACTGGGGTTTCAGTATGGGATTCCGGTGTTGCAGGCTGCGGCTGAATCTGCTGCACCATAACACTGGCCCCAGAAATGCTTACCTTTGATGTAATCCAATTTGTTTTGGTTTTGCCTTAAATTTTGTATATTTTTCAAGAAGGCTTTTTCTACCTCTGGGTTACAGAGGCAACGTTCCAACACGTCCTTGTATTACATGTATGGCGTTAGCCTTCCATCAGTTAAGTCTAACACTTCTGGAGTACACCTGCACAAGCAGGGGTCTAGTTTTATTTTTCTTCCACAAACAACTGTCCTTAACAGCACTGAATAAACTCTTTTTTGCCTTGTTTCTTCTTTAAAAATATTGAGCTGCCAAATATCCCTAGTCTTTCTCCGAACGCCCTCCTCGTTGCATTGATCTTAGGCTGCATCAGTTTTTACCACTACAATTTTGTAGAATATCCTAATATTTGGTAGGGAAACCCTCTTTTCTTTTTTAGGTTTGTTTGTTGTTTGTGAACCTTTACTCTTCTATACAAACACTGAAGTTTGAGCTACTCAAAAAATCAAACTGGATTTTGATTGGGATCACCTGGCTTCCAGATTACACTGAGAAATTTCACTTTTAGAACATGTCATCTCATTGGAGGTATGGTATGCTTCTTAGATAATTTCCTATGCCTTTTTTAACATTCGGATGTTTTCTCCAAATGGGAATACAAGGGTATTTCCAAAAATTCATGGAAAATGGAATTAAATGATAAGCTTATTCTGGTGCAAAACATGTTCAAAATCCATGCATAGTTACTTCATAATACATATTTTTCACTGAAGACATGATATGCATGGATTACAATAGTTTTTGCACCAAAATAAACTTACTTTTAATTCCATTTTCAATGAATTTCTACACATTTCCTCATGTTTTGGTTAATTCTTTGATAAGTTTATAATGTTGCAGTTTTTTGGAAATGATACATTTTGGATTTGCACAGGCTGATCTTATACTGGCAACCTTGCCAACTCTCTTTATTACATTTTTAAAATAATTAATTTCTTTTAAAACATAACTTCCCTTTTTTCATTTATTTACTTTCATTTTATTTTAAAGAGAGACGGAAGAGCAATCTTCCATTTGCTGGTTACTCTCCAAATGCCTGCCAGGGCTGGGACAGGCAGAGGCCAGAGGCCGAGAATCTAATTCAGGTCCCCCCCCCGCCCCCCCAGATGGCAGGGACCCAAGAACTTGAACCATCACCTGCTGCTTACCAAGGTGTGCATTAGCAGGAAGTGAGATCAGAAGCAGAGTAGCTGGGACTGAAACCAGGCACTCCAATTTGGGATGGGGGTGTCCCAACTGGCAACTTAGCTGCTGTGCCACATTCTCACTCCTGTACCGTTTTTTTTTTAAAGATTTATTTATTTATTTTAAAGTCAGGGTTACACATAGAGAAGAAGGAGAGAGACGGAGGGAGGGAGAGGGAGAGAGTCTTCCGTCCACTGGTTCATTCCCCAATTGGCCGCAATGGCTGGAACTGTGCCAATCCGAAGCCAGGAGCCAGGAGCTTCCTCCGGGTCTCCCACGTGGGTGCAGGGGCCCAAGAACTGCTTTCCCAGGCCATAGCAGAGAGCTGGATCGGAAGTGGAGCAGACGAGACTCGAACTGGTGCCCACATGGGATGCCAGCACTGCAGGCAGCGGTTTTATCTGCTACACCACAGTGGCGGCCCCTCCTTTTAATAGGAGTTTACTGATCGCTGGATGTCCAGGTAGGTGTCATGTGCGACAAAGACCCCACCTCTTTTCTTGCACTGTTACAGTTACCTCCTCACTGAGCTTTGGTCATAGAAGGAATGCATTTAATCTAACCATTTTCCACAAAATATGCTACTGCAGGCTTTTGTATGAACCGTCACTGGGCTGAAGTATTCTATTACTAGTTTGATATTTTTATTTTTCACAAATAGGAAACTTGTCCACATATTTTTCTACATCAATTGAGACCACTGTGACTTTTTTCCCACTTTTATCTATCACTGTCATAGATTTTCTGATGTTGAGTCATTCTGAGATTCCTCAGGTAAACTTCATTTGGTCATTTTTTTTTTAAGATTTATTTAAAAGGCAGAGTTGGAGAGAAAGCAGAGGCAGAGAGAGATAGAGAGAGGTCTTCTGTCCCTTGATTCACTTCCCAAGTGTCTGCGAAGGCTGGAGCTGGGCCAATCCCAATACAGGAACCAGGAGCTTCTTCCAGGTCTCCCACACGGGTGCAGGGGCCCAAGGACTTGGGCCATCTTCTACTGCTTTCCCAGGCCATAGCAGAGAGCAGGATCAGAAGTGGAGCAGCCGGCACTGCGGGCGGTGGCTTTACCTGCTACATCACAGAGCTGGCCCCTGATCACGTTCTTAAAAACACACCACTGGGGACCAACATTATTGTGGAGCAGGAAAAGCTGCTGCCTGCAATGCCAGCATACCACATGGGTAATGGCTGGAGTCTCAGCTCCTCCACTTCCAATCCAGCTCCCTGCTCATGGCCTGGCAAAGCAGCAGAACATGGCCCAAGTGTTCGGGCCCTGGCACCCACATGGGAGATGAAGTTTCAGGCCCTGCCATTGTGGCCATCCAGGGCCAGGAATGGGGAGCGAACCAGCTGTTGAAAGATCTCTCTTTGGGGCTGGCACTGTGGCAAAACGGGTAAAGCCACCACCTGCAATGCTGGCATCCCATATGGGCGCTGGTTCGAGTCCTGGCTGCTCCACTCCCAATCCGGGTCTCTGCTATGGCCCGGGAAAGCAGTAGAAGATGGCCCAAGTCCTTGGGCCCCTGCACCGACGTAGCAGACCCGGAAGAAGCTCCGGGCTCCAGGCTTCGGATCAATGCAGCTCTGGCCATTGTGCCATTTGGGGAGTGAGCCAGAGGATGAAAGACCTTTCTCTCTGTCTCTCTGCCTCTCTTTCTCTCCCTGTGTAACTCTGACTTAAGTAAATAAATAAAATATTTTTTAAAAAAAGACTTCTCTAACTATTTAAAAGAAATAAATAAATCTTAAAAATGCAAAAAACACAGCATTCTATCTTTAACTATAAAAATACAAGCTTAAGAAAAATGGAAGAGCCAGTGCAATGGTGTAGTAGGTTAAGCCTTTGCTTGTAGTTCGAGTCCCAGCTGCTCCACTTCCAACTCAGCTCCCTGCTAACAACCTGGGGAAGCAGTGGAAAATGGCCCACGTACTTGGGCCCCTGCACCCACGTGGGAGACCTGGAAGAAACTCCCAGCTCTTGACTTCAGATCGGCCCAGCTCTGGCCATTGTAGCCATTTGGAGAGTGAACCAGCGGATGGAAGATCTGTCTCCCTCCCTCTCTCTAATTCTGCTTCTCAAATTAAAAAAAAAAAAAAAAAGAAAAGAAAAATGGACTTTTTCTTATCTGTTTTGGAATCAAAATTACCTTACATTTTTATTTCATTTTGTGAGTTATTAATATAGCCACCTTGGCTCTGTCGGTCCATTTTGTTAGCTTGGTAACAGCTCTGATATAATTCACAGATCATGTAAATCATCCCCTTGAAGCACACAATTCAGTGTTTCCTAGTATACTCAGAACTGCACAACCCTCAATTTTAGACCCCCTCTATCACCGCCACAAGAAAACCTGTACACTGTAGCTGTACCCCCAAGCCTGGGCAGCCACTAGTATGTTTTTTCCCTACAGATTTGGCTTTCTGGCCGTTTCATAGGAATGGGATCATACAATATGTGGTCCTCCACTCAGCAGGCTTCCAAGAGCCCTCCACGTTGCAGCAGGTATCTGCAGTACATTCCGTTCTATGGCTGAAGACTACTCCACGAAATGGATACACCACGTTTTGTTTATTCATTCTTCTACTGGTGAACAGCTGGATCACGTCCACCGCTGGGCTATGATGGGTAATGCTGCTATGAACATTCATGGGTACAGGAGTGGCATTGCCGGGTCTCATGACAACTGTTTAACGGGGACTGCCAGTCTGTTCCCCAAAGCTGCAGCACCATTTTACTTTTCCATCAGCAGCTGTGAAGGCTGATTTATCCAACTCTCTGTCAACCCTCACCTTGTGGATAACAGCCATCCTAGTGGGTATGAAGCAGTCTCTCACTGCAGTTTTTTTGTTTGTTTGTTTTTGACAGGCAGAGTTAGACAGTGAAAGAGAGAGACAGAGAGAAAGGTCTTCCTTTTTTGTTGGTTCACCCCCAAAATGGCCGCTGTGGCCGGCGCACCACGCTGATCCAAAGCCAGGAGCCAGGTGCTTCCTCCTGGTCTCCCATGCAGGTGCAGGGCCCAAGCACTTGGGCCATCCTCCACTACACTCCCAGGCCACAGAAGAGAGCTAGACTGGAGGAGGAGCAACCGGAACAGGACCGGCGCCCCAACCGGGACTAGAACCTGGGGTGCCGACGCCACAGGCGGTGGATTAGCCTAATGAGCCATAGCGCCAGCCCATTTTTATTTAAGATTTTCTTTTTTATTTGAAAGGCATAATTACAGAGAGAGAGGAAGAGAAGGAGAGGGAGAATTGTCGATCTGTTGGTTCACTCACTCAAATGGCCGTAACAGCTGGGGCTGGGCCAGACTGAAGCCAGGAGCTTCTTCCGGGTCGCATACGTGGGTGCAGAAGCCCAACCACTTGGGCCGTCTTCTGTTGTTTTCCCAGGCCATTAGCAGGGAGCTGGATCAGAAATGGAGCAACGAAGACTCGAATTGGCACCCATTTGGGATGCTGGTGTTGCAGGTAGCTGCTTTACCCACTATGCCACAATGCCAGCCCCGTTCCTTTTATGTTTTTAACTCCCTAAGTGAATACAGTTTTATTTGAACTTAAAAAAAGTGTATATGAACGTCTGTTTTAATTGGCTAGTTTCATCTATGGCCAAATGAATTGGGTAACTTATCAGTTTATCTTTTTCTCTGGACAATTCCCTCCTGATATCCTGTCTTGTTCTGAACTCAATATTCCGTGGTTGCTCGGCAAAGCTGCTACCTTGCTACCGAGCTGGGATGGTGTGCTTATTTCTGGTATCTCTTGTCTTCCTTAATTTACCTCCTCAATTTTGTGGAGCACATCTTCCAGGAGCCTTTGAAAACAGTGGTATGGAAAGTCAAGATTGAGATCTTGCGTGTCTGCAAATGTTTTTACCTTCTCACTTGAATACAGTTTCTGGACACTAATAAGTACAGATCAGAAAAGCAAGTATCTCTTAAAACCCAAGTCTGTTTACTTCCTGGGTTTAGCTAGTGAGCGTTTAGTTAGTAATGCAACAAGGCAATGTACATTTGGTGAGGGCTATCTCAAAAAACTAGTCGCAATCTATTAGCTTCCTGTTTGGAGGGAGTGATTTTGGAAGGTCAGGAAGGGTCCTCAGAGCCTGAAAGCACTAATCCACCACCTCTGGTCATCCAGACTCGGTAAGAAATCTAAGGCTCATACTGGTCTTGTTCGAGTGACCGTTCTCTCCCCTGTGCCTAGGCGTGGGTCTTTTTCATTCATCACACTTGACACTAGGGCCTTGTGATCCAAGGTTGAAGCTATGGAATAGCCTTTTCTATTAATTACTTTCAATAATCCACTCCCCCACTGTTCTGACTTTTTTCACTTTCTAGAACTGTTAGTCTATTATTTGGTTTCCTGTATCTTCTGTGGCTTTTGTTTTTCTCTGTTTCATTCAAGCCCTACTCTTAGGGATATTACCTCACTGGTACTTCCAACCATATTAAATCATTTTTACTATTTAATATTTTCTTTTTTTTTCCTGATTTTTTTTTCTTTATTTTGACAGGCAGAGTGGACAGTGAGAGAGAGAGACAGAGAGAGAAAGGTCTTCCTTTGCCGTTGGTTCACCCTCCAATGGCCGCCGCTGCAGCCGGCGCACCGCGCTGATCCTGGCAGGAGCCAGGAGCCAGGTGCTTTTCCTGGTCTCCCATGGGGTGCAGGGCCCAAGCACCTGGGCCATCCTCCACTGCACTCCCTGGCCATAGCAGAGGGCTGGCCTGGAAGAGGGGCAACCGGGACAGAATCCGGCGCCCCAACCGGGACTAGAACCCGGTGTGCCGGCGCCGCAAGGTGGAGGATTAGCCTATTGAGCCACGGCGCCGGCTACTATTTAATATTTTCAACTTTTAAAAGCTCTATTGTCTCAATAACTCCAATTTCATCTATTGTTTTATGAATGCAATTTCTTGAGAAATCTTCTTAATTAGTTTTGTTCAGCATGTGCCACATCCTAACGATCTCGAAAAGCACAATTTTGGGGGCCAGTGCTGTGGCACAGCAAGTTAAACCTGCACCTGCAGTGCTAGCATCCTTTATGGGTGCTGCTTCCAGTCCTGGCAGCGGGACTTCCGATCCAGCTCCCTCCCTGCTAATGGCCTGAGAAAAGAAGCAGAAGATGGCCCAAGTGCTTGACCTGGAAGAAGCTCCTGGCTCCTGGCTCTGGCCTGGCCCAGCCTAGTTGTTGCGGCCATTTGGGGAGTGAACCAGCAGACTGAAGATGTCTCTCTCTCTCTCAACTGCCTTTCAAATAAATAAATCCTTTTTTTTTTAAAAGAAAAACATGATTTTTTAATGTTAATACAGTGCTCCACAAAACATGCAAATATGCCAAGAGCTTTAAGCAGTCAGAGGCATCCTCAGATCTGTGTTTCCAACGTTCAGCCCAGAAGCAGCAGGAAAGAAGGGTGGAAGCGGACAAGAGCCCAAGTCTCCCAACAAGATGAGAGATGATGAGTCTGCTCTAAGGCAGCAGTGGGGCCAAGGCAGAGCAGCTGACGGACCTGAGGAGGTGGAATGCACAGGGCTCAGGAACGACTGGGTAAGAGAAAAGAGAGGAGCAAAGTCCAGAATTATCCTCAGGTTTATGTTTTGGATAATGGCAAGAATAGTTGAATTTCTTCAAAGAGGAATTATGTATTTTGAATATGTTAAAGAGTGAGTTACCTACTATACCATCTGAGTTAAGCTTTGCCATAGTCTAAATGTCAAGCAGAAAAATAAATTTTTCCCTCCAGATCAGTCTCAAGGATAATTCATTGCTTAACATTTAAAGAAAAATGTAAGAGATTCTAAAGAAACATTTATGGTGTTACAACAATATTTCTAATATCTACAAAAATATCTTTTTATCTTCAACAGTAAGAAAAGATATCAAACTTTAAAGAGATCAACTCTTTTATTAAGATTCTTTACAGATATTTTTTGAAGGATGAAAAAATTAGCAATAAACAAGTTCAAGTTTAAAATTATGGAAGAAAATTTTATCACAAATTATTAAAAGAATATTTTGTAACAAAAATAATCTTTTGCTAGTATATTTATTATTGCCTTTTATTTTTTGTCTCAAAATGAATTTTATAAGATAATTTCCTTTTCATCAGCAAAACACTTACTGCTCAAAGTAAAGATGAAAACATTTTATCAACTATATTTTTCTCATTTTAGATGTCTACCATTTTCTTTAAAAGATTAAGGCTATTTAAATTCATTAGAATATTTACATTTAAATACTCCAACATAATATATTACATGTATTAAGCAATTAGAAGTTGTTCAAATTAACATTTGGTTTTATAAGCAATGACAGTAATTTAAAATGTAAAAAAATGAGCTTAAAAAATGCCCAAACTATCTGTTTATTTTCACTAGCTACCTGCTTCTGAAATATCCTTGTCGGAGTTATGTCTTTTTTAACATTTACTAACTCAATTGATGGTTTTAAAAATGAAGAATGTCATTTCATTTAACCTGATTTTTTTTACTCAATTGGTGGCTTTAAAATTTTTTTAGAGGCCGGCGCCGTGGCTCAATAGGCTAATCCTCCACCTTGCGGCGCCGGCACACCGGGTTCTAGTCCCGGTTGGGGCGCCGGATTCTGTCCCGGTTGCCCCTCTTCCAGGCCAGCTCTCTGCTATGGCCAGGGAGTGCAGTGGAGGATGGTCCAGGTGCTTGGGCCCTGCACCCCATGGGAGACCAGGAAAAGCACCTGGCTCCTGGCTCCTGCCAGGATCAGCGCGGTGCGCCGGCTGCAGCGGCGGCCATTGGAGGGTGAACCAACGGCAAAGGAAGACCTTTCTCTCTGTCTCTCTCTCTCACTGTCCACTCTGCCTGTCAACATAAAAAGAAAAAAAAAAAAAAAAAAAAAAGAATAGGAGAACACCTGAATTAAACCATTCTTAACATGTGTCCAGGACTGTTTGGTAACTGGCTTATTTTTACAGATGAGCCTTAACACGTCTTCTAGAGGAAGTAAGCCAAAGGAATCACTTGACACTACGAGACCTACCACGTGAACTCTCAGTGTCACTGCTTTTTCCTTCTCTTGTAAGAATCGCTACTGTGAACGCGCACTCGCTGGTGCACAGAAGACGCGATTTTCAGGCTGTCTTTCTTCGCAAGGGTCTTCTCTACAGCTGCAGGTTTCCAGAGTAACAACTGTGCATCTTCTCCCCCAGTCAGCAAGGAGTCATCATGCACACTCCAGCAAAAAGATCGGACTGTGGCCGCATGCCCTCCCTGGAGAGTGGACACATGTGTCAGTCCTGACGTGGTGCAGCTCATCAAGTGAATCCTGCCTGTGTTCGTTCCTCCGACAACAAACAATCTGTCCATCTTTTCATGATAGAGGCCACCAATCAAGTAGTCCAAGCTACCTTCTTTGATGTCAATGTTCTCTCTGACATCCTGGATGCTCAAACGTGTAATGGGTTCATCAGTCTCCAAATGATTAAGGTCCCACCAGCAAAACCCTTCATCATGTGTCATGCAGTAAATCTGTTTGTAGTCTCTCCCCGACCAACCAATAGAGCTTACTGATGAAACTGAGTTGCAGGTTGCGACCAGGGCATCCTCTTCATTATCAACACTGATATCAAATACATTTACCAGGCCATCAGTTGAACCTGAGACTACTAGGTGGGGGTTGCTGGGGTGGAAGCAGACCTGAGTGATGTCGTCACTGTGTGTCTCTGAATATGCACCCAGTGGGTCTTTAGTGGTAGACAAGTCTTGAGGACTAATCCTCGCATCCCAAAAGACCAACAAAGCATCATCATCGACTTTCTCTGTGCCAGCACAAATGACATGATCATCGCAGCTGACGTCAAAACTGATGAAAACATTGGAAGGGTAACCCTTGAACAGTTGAACAGGTTTCTCACTGGCTAGGCGAGCATCCCAGCACTTTACAGTGCCATCAGTACATGATGAATACACACTATTACAGGAATTTGCAAATTTGACTCCATTAAGAAGTCCGGGATAGCCACTAAATTCTCGTAGTACATTTAACCTTTCTTTGTCATATATTCTGATTGATCCACTGGAACACAAAACAGCAACCAAGCTTCCCTCTTCTGCATGGACGGTCTTCGACGTGTCCACGCCAAGCAGGTAGGTGGGCTCTTCAGTTTCTGAGGAACGTTTAACAATGCGTAGATTGGCAAGCTGCTCCTCAATCTTCTCCATATCAGCAGCAGCATCCCAGGGTAACAAAACTCTAATAAAAATACAAACATTTTAATTAAACTTATGCCTCCTTCACCAAAACTGCAATTCAATCATGATTTACTTTCTTTGGGGGTGGGTATGGTGGCGTAGCGGGTTAAGCCACCACCTGGCACAGTCCCTACTCACATATCAGAGACCCTGGTTCAAGTCCAGGCTACTCTGCTTTAGATACAGCCTCCTATTAACGCGGTCCTGGGGAGGCAGCAGGTGATGGCTCAAGCTGCTGGTTACCGCCAGCCAGGTGAGAGGCCTGGAGGAAGTTCAGGACTCCCAGCTTGTCTGGCTGCCTGTCGCAGCCCTTTAGGGAATGAAATCAGTGAATGGAACATCTCTTTCTCTGTGCCGCTCTGCCTTACAAGTAAACTAAAAAATAAACTTAATTTCCTTTGAGGGCTAGCACAGAAGAACAGAAATAGAACTTAGTATTTTAGTAATTTCCCTACCACGGTGTAACTAAAATTCACTTGTCTTCTAATTCAGCCACTTTTTAATGTTGAATTTACCATATATATTCTATGCTAGTACGAGAATTAGATAACATATATGAGTACCTTTAAAAGTTTATAGAAAATGTAACTAAAAGATAAATTTATTTTTCTGCAAAAAGTTTTGAAATCCATGCAGTTTTCTTCTCCCCATTGGACCCTGTATGCATGGATTTAACAATTTTTTTGCACCACAAGAAATCTATCCTTTAATTCCATTTTCCATGTACTTCCTGAGGTACCTTTGTACATATACCATTTAGTGCTTCCTTTAGCTCAAACCCAGGCCCTGGTACTAACCACAGGCACTGACAAGGACTCAGAATCGCCTCCCAGATCTGGGCCCCAGCTGCCTTATACAGCTTTAGAATTTAATCATGGATGTGTAGGCCAAAAAATACTTCCCCAAAGATGCCCATGCCTTAATCCCTGGAACCTGTGAATATGGCAAGTCACGTGGCAAGGGGGAATTGAGGTTGCAGATGGAATTAAGGTTGCTAATCAGCCTTATTTAAGGCTGACCTTAAAATAGGGGGATTATCCTCCAGATTATCTGGGTAGGTCCACTGTAATCACAAATGTTTTTAAAAGTAGAAGAGGGAGGCAGAAGAGGGACAGAGGGAGATGTTACTGTGAAAGGTAGGCACAGGGAGCCACAGTGCTGCTAGTTTTCAAGATGAGAGTCATAAACCAAGAAATCCAGGTGGCCTTCAGAAACTGGGAAAGGAAAGGCAACCTCCTTCAGAGCCTCCAAATGGCCAAGCAGCCCTGGGGATACCTTAAACTGAGCCCATATTGGACGGTCATATTGGACGTTCTGACCTCCATAACTGAAAGATAACAAACGCCTGCAGTTTCAAGCTACTAAACTGGTGGCAATTTGTTACTAAGACAACAGGAAACTGAAAACATGAAGGTTTTCAGTACAGAATCCTGGAGAAGTGCTTCTCATGCAGGAACTGCTTGCAGAAGGTCGAGCTGGGACTTGAACCTAGGTATTCTGGCTTCAGGGACTGCGCTTCATGGTGGGTTCAATGCCAGGGAAATACGCCTCCCTAGTGACATCATCACAAGTTTTTCTATTGTGCTTTTCACCAGTGAAATCACGTTTTCTTTTTTTAAAGATTTATTTATTTATTTAAAAGGCAGAGAAGAGAGAGAGAGAGAGAGAGAGAGAGAGAGAGAGAGAGAGAGAGAGGAAGTCTTCCATCCGCTGGTTCACTCCCCAAATGGCTGCAATGTTCAGAGCTGGAATGATCTGAAGCCAGGAGCCAGGAGCTTCTTCTGGGTCTCCCATATGGGTGCAGGAGCCCAAGGACTTGGGCCATCTTCTACTGCTTTCCCAGGCCACAGCAGAGAGCTGGATTGGAAGTGGAGCAGCGGGGACTCGAACCAGCACCCATATGGGATGCCAGCACTGCAGGCGGCAGCTTTACCCACTATGCCACAGTGCTGGCCCCATGTTTTGGCTTTTTGATGGTAACCATTCTAACTGCAGTGAAATGATATTTCATCTGGGTTTTGATTTAGTTTTCCCAGATGATTAGTGATTTTGAACATATTCTTTTTTTAGAAATCAGAAGTTTCCTTTTAAAAAATTTCTTTAAATTTATTTCTTCTTTTAAGAAATGTCTATTTAGCCACACTCTATTCTTGTATTAAAAAAAAAGTCTTTTCTTTCTTTGGATATCATTAAGGAATCAAGATTTTTAAAAACTGTGTAATGGGGGCCATTTCTGTGGCACAGCAGGTTAAACCTCCACCTGCGGCGTCAGCGTCCCATACAGGCACCAGTTCTAATCTTGGCTGCTCCTCTTGCAATCCAGCTCTCTGATATAATCTGGAAAACCAGTAGAAGATGAATCAAATGCTTGGGCCCCTGTACCAGCGTGGGAGACCTAGAAGAGGTTCCTGGCTCCTGGCTCCTGGCCTCTGGCTTCAGATCAGCTCAGCTCTAGCCATTGAAGCCATTTGGGGAATGAACCAGCTGATGAAGACCTTTCTCTCTGTCTCTCACTCTCACTGTCTGTAACTCAACTCTCAAAAACACAAATCTTTAAAAATTAAAAAAAAAAGTAGTGTTATGGTGCCTATTTCCCTGCCGGACTAATGTTCTTTATACTTTTTGTTTGTTGAACTCTTTATTTAATGGAGCCAACAAGCCTTTGACTGTAACATAAGTTTAAAATGTTATTTCAAAAAAACAATTAAGTATTTTAAAAAAAACTGTGTTATAATCCATCACTTTTTTTTTTTTTTTTTTTTGACAGGCAGAGTGGACAGTGAGAGAGAGAGATACAGAGAGAAAGGTCTTCCTTTTGCCGTTGGTTCACCCTCCAATGGCCGCCGCGGCCGGTGCGCTGCCCACTGCGCTGATTCGAAGCCAGGAGCCAGGTGCTTCTCCTGGTCTCCCAGGCGGGTGCAGGGCCCAAGCACTTGGGCCATCCTCCACTGCACTCCCGGGCCATAGCAGAGAGCTGGCCTGCAAGAGGGGCAACCGGGACAGAATCCGGCGCCCCAACCGGGACTAGAACCTGGTGTGCCGGCGCCGCAAGGTGGAGGATTAGCCTAGTGAGCCACGGCGCCGGCCACTTAGTTCTTTTTGATGTTCAAATTTTCCCAACTTGGTCACTGAGTAACACTGCAAGCCAGTTTCTATTTCCTTTTGATATCACTGCATTAACCTGTAAGCCCTACACAGAAAATCCCTCTGAAAGAACCAAATAAGTCTAAAAGTGGTACTTCCAAAAATTAAAAATATTTAACTATGAAACACTTTAAATGTACAAAGAGGTGTGGAAGACTGTATGCAGACACCCAAATATGTACCACCCAGATTTGACAGATGCTAACATTTTACCACATTTGCTTCAGTTTTTTAATTTAAAGAAGTAAACATTACAACCAAAACTTTACTCCTGTGAGATTAAGCATTTATAAAATGTCATCACATTGATATGTATCATTTTGCAATTTGTTCTTTTCACTCCGTGCAATTTTTGGAAATCCCTATTCTGTTAAACTTATTACCTCTTTCTTGTTATTAATAAATGGCTGTTGAATAAATGAATACATAATTGACTCAACTTTCATATCAAAAGCTGAACGGCTGTAGGAGAAAACAAAACAGATCCAGAAGGACATGGCGCGTGTCTGTGTGTCTGCAGGGCCTTCTGCCATGGACATTAATAAAGGCCCTCTCTCTAATAGTATCTTAAAGCACACGAAGGAAATAGTGAAACAAATGTATTTGTGAAGAAAACATTTAAAATAATCTTTTGCCACAAGCTATTCAAATATATCCTAAAATGTGTATTTAGCTTAAAATGTGCTGCCTATATACTGGAAGGAAGACACCTCTCAAATCCCAGATGAAACAACTGCCTGTTCTCCTGCACTAGGTCAAGTATGCACATGCCACTATAAAAGAAACAGGTCTAGGGGCAGACACTGGCAGCAGGCTAAGCCACAACCTCGGAGGCCCAGTGACTGGTTCAATTCCTAGCACTTCTGCTTCCAGTCCAGATTCCAGATTGCATTCCGAGATAATAATGTAGCTCCGCCACTGTGGCACAGCAGGTAAAGCTGCTGCCTGCAGTGCCGGCATCCCATGTGGGCGCCAGTTCAAGTCCTGGCTGCTCCACTTTGCCATCCAGCTCTCTGCCATGGCCTGGAAAAGCAGAAGATGGCCTAAGTCCTTGGGCCCCTGCACCCACGTGGGAGACCTGGCTGGAGGAAGCTCCTGGGTTCGGATCAGCGCAGCTCCTGCCGTTGTGGCCAATTGGGAAGTGAACTAGCAGATGGAAGACCTTTCTCTCTCTCTCTCTGCCTCTCTTTCTCTCTCTGTGTGTAACTCTGACTTTCAAATAAATAAATAAATCTTTTTTTAAAAAAGAGAGAGAGAGATAATAATGCATCCTGAGAGGCAGCAGATGATGGTTCAAGTGCATGGGTCCCTGCTACTGACATGGGAGACCTGTATGCAGCTCCTGGCTTCTGACTTTGAACTGGCCCAGCATGGCTGTTGTTGGCATCTGGGGAGTGAACCAGTGGATGGAAGATTCTCTCTCTTCTCTCTGCCTTTAAAGCAGCTGAAAATAAACATTTTGAATAACCACAAAAGAAACAAGTCTTCACTACTACTCCATACTGATCTCTGCATACGAGAGGTCTGACTGATGCCAAACCTCTAAAGCCTGATGTGGCTTTTAAGCCACCAGTGACTTACAGGACTGCTGCGCCCAAGCAGGAGAGCAGCAGTGCCCTCTTCCCTGTGTGCTGGCTGGACAGCCTGGCTCCCAGCTCCCAGCGGAACACTCTCCTGCAAAGCTTCAGTTCTGGGGCCTGGGTGGGGAGGCAGGCGGAGTGTGTCCCAGATGGATCCTTATAGCAAACTAACACTTCAGAACTAAGTGACTACCACAACCAAAGGCTGGCCACATGGCACTCTGTTTATATGCAATGTCCTTCAAAAAACAAAATCAACATAGGAACACTTCTAAAA